TTAATCAGAAAATAGATAGAGTCGCTTAATGTGTATTAATAGACTTATCTAATATATGCATGAACAAACTCGTCTAATATATGTTGTTAAATTTGTCTAATAAGTATATGAACAAACTCGTATAATGTGTGTTGCAAAACTCATTTTATCATTGTATGAACATACTAATCTAATGTTCATTTTTTAACTTATTTCATAAATGCATGAAATGATTCATCTTATGTTTTGTTATATTTGTAAGTGTGTGGACAAACTTGTTTAATGAATAATGTTAGGTCAATTTAATATTTTTCACTATATTCATTTAATTCGTGTGTGAACAAGCTTATCTAACATGTATTTGAAGATTTATTTAATAAGTGAATGAATATATATTGTCTTGTGTATTAATAAACTCATGTAATTTATATGTAGAAATACTTATTTAATGTATATTGTCATTGTTTAATTAATATATGAGACACTCATTTAATATTTATTGTTAACTTGTCTAATCAATATATGAATTAATGTTTAACCTAATAAAAATATAAAAAATATCCAATAATAAAATATATTATTATAATTTATTATAAAAATAATTGTAATTTTATGTTTACAATTGTTTTAAGACAAAATTATTATGTTATTGTAATGTGTAAATATAACTAGTTTTTATAATTTTATTGTTAATACTTTTATTCATTTTATTTTATAGGTAGTTTTATAATTAAGATAATTATTAACTTTAAAAAATCTGTCAAATAAAAAAGTGGTTAAATTAAAAAAAAAGAGTCACTTAAAGTTGAAATTAAGAAAATATTATTTATTTTAAAAGTAACAACTCTAATGTTTGTTTGACTTCTAAGAGATGTTCTAAGATATCATTTGTTGTCATTATGAAAGTTTTAGAAACTCCTTATAACGGTCAATTAACTTTAGTGCATTTTGTCATAAAACATAAATACGTTTTATTAAACAAATGAAGACTCCTCACTCCAGACATCTACTATTTTCAAAGATTAGGTTAACAGGATTTAAATAAAACATCAAAATAATTTAAGGTGTGAAAAGAAGAATTCAGATAAAAGTCTATTAAAGTGACCTGTCACGTTTTTTAACATGATAGATGTTTAAAATAATTATTATATATATATATATATATATATATATATATATTATATTTTGAAATGTCCATCAGAAGAA